ATTTCCTATATTTTGTTACCAACCAGTTTTTATTTCACCCGTCCATCTAGTACTATTATAAAGTTAAAACTGATAAGCATTGCCAAAAAGTGTTAAAAACGTATTTTTAATAATTTTTATTAACACTGTAAATTTGTGTTTGCGTTTATGCATGTTGACGTACGCTAGTAAAAAAAAAAAATAGATCCTATACGTATTTTGGCACTCTCCCTCGAAAATATTTCTCTGGGCGCCCATGGTCGTTGCTTAAAACATTACTGATTAAACGATTATTTTCTTTGGTGATTTGTCTAATTTCATCCTTAATCTCTTATAATCCAATCTGTCACCGACACGGATTTCATCTTTTCTTTTTAGCTATCTAAGTCGGCGTTTCCCAAACTGGAAGTCCGCGAGTTATGTACGAAATTTCATAAAAATGTTTTAAAAGATATGATTTATAGAATAATCAATATTTTTCGTAGAATTAAATTTATATAAATTAAAAAATTTAATTTTGGAATACAGCTTTTCGCGCACACAGCATTTGTTTTTCAAAGCAAAAAACATAGTTAAGTTTGGAGGTTTTCGGATTACTAATGTTTGAGAACCACTGATCTATGGCTTTAATAGTTGATCTTGGCCAATGCAGTTCACAATATTACACCAATAAACTGTGGACGAATGAGGTGTTGCAAAAATCGTTGACGTGTAGAAGCTAGGGAGAATGTTTATGCGTGTATTCATATTCACCGCCCGGACCTTATTATTGAATTTGTAAAGTACCGAGTAAGACGTTGATACTACCAAGAGTTGAAGGCCTTTTTGTTGTTGTTCTGTTTATTAGAATTAATATGACACCGTTTAGAGGCTCTAATTTGTGATAAAATAACATGAAACAAAAACGTTCGTGTTATATCTCTAGCAATTTTGTAAATATTTTTTTTCTCAACATTTTATTTTTGCAGGCTTTCGTAGAATCTGTAAACTAGGCCAACTCCTTACCCGAGTAACTCAGTCTATATTATTCCGCCTATCTTTGAATGCTATCGCTATATTAACGCGTGCGTGCGTCAAACAGGAACAAATAACCTCAGTGCATTGTGGACAGAATCATGGCAAAAAATTTCATTTTTACATATCCTATTGGCAAGAGTATGAACGTATCTTTATTGTCTAAAATAGATTTGCTAGCCATTGTCTGCTTCTCTGTGAAATTAAACCTGTATTTTCTTTATAAACGAAATATTAGTTCGTCAAGAAATTAATGTATACAGAACAGACTTAATTGTAGTGAAGCTGTGTTATTATTTAAAGTTGGGAGTTCATTTATAATAGAGAAACTTTCTTTAATTAAAAGTTCAATATTGAGTGGGATGGTGTTGCTTTCATTATGTGTGAGAATTGTGGATTCTGGTGGACTTGATAGTTTTTTACAAGTTCTACTTGATACTCCCATATCTTCGTAGGTTCGCAGATGT